CTCCTCATCTTCCTCATCTTCCTCCTCCTTTTCCTCGTCATCCCCCTCCTGCCCCCCCTCCCCCTCTCCTCCTCCCTCTCCTCATTCGTCATCATCATAATCATCAATCTCAAACCACCACCACCACCATCATCATCATCATCATCACCATCATCATCATCATCATCATCATCACCATCATCATCATCATCATAATCAGCATCAGCATCATCAGCATCATCATCATCATCATCAGCATCATCATCATCATCATCATCAGCATCAGCATCATCATCATCATAATCATCATTATCATAATCATCAGCATCATCATCATCAGCATCATCATCATCAACATCATCATCCTCAGCATCATCATCATCATCATCAGCAGCATCATCATCATCATCAGCAGCATTATCATCACCATGCTGGCCTCGATGCCGTCTCCGCCGACGCCAGCCGCCTGCGCGGGGGGGGCAGCGCCGCCAGCTGCCTGCGCAGGGTGGCTATACATATACGCGCTCTCCTCCTTATATCCTCCTCCTCCCCCTCCTCCTCCTCGTTCCACTCCTCCTGCTTATCCTCCTCATTCCCCTCCTGCTCCCCCTCCGTTTCCTCCTCCTGCTCCTCCCCCTCCTTCCCCTCTTCCTCCGCCTCCCCCTCCCCCTCCTCCGCCTCCTCTTCTTCCTCTTCCTCCTCCGCCTCCTCATCGTCCTCCTCCTCCTCCTCGTCACTCTCGTCCTCCTCGTCCTCTTCCTTGTCCTTCGCCTCTTCCTCCTCCTCCCATCGCTTCACGCCCACCCCTGCACCCGGGGGAAGGCGACGCGGGTGGGGGGGGGGAGAGGGGATTTTGAGGATAAGAAGGGCGAGACACAGGATAAGCCGACGGAGGCGGATAAGGAAATTGAGAAAGAGAAATAAAATGACGAGGACGAGGTTGAGAGGACAAGCGCGAGGATGGGAAGGAGGAAAAGGCTAGTTGGCAGCGCAATGGGGACTCAATGAGGACGGGTTGGAACGTTGAGAAGGAGGAGGAGACATGTGCAATTCAGGATAGAATGGGAAGGCTGAGGATAAGGGAGGAGGGGGGTGATTGGACACATGACGGAGGCCATTTGCATCCCTGGGGTGCAGCTGCGGCCGCTGCGGCCGCCAACACTGCGTGGTCGGCTGGCCTCTCGGCGGCGGCGCTGATGGGGACGAGCTCGCCCTCGCCGCTCTCCTGCTTCTTGGCCTTCTTCTCCTTCTTGCCCTTCTTCTCGGCCGCCGAGCCCGACGCAGCGCTGAGCGCCTGATGGCGTCTCATGCTTGTGTCCATTGACCCCTCCTCCTCCACCTCCCCCTTCATTTCTTCCTTCTCCTCCTCCTCCTCCTCCTCCTCCTCCTCCTCCTCCTCATGCCTCCTCCCTCTTCCCTCCATTTCATATGTCCTTCCTCCTTTATCTCCTTCCTCCTTCCTCACCCCTCCTTCCCCCTTCCCTCCTCCATCCTTCGTTCCCTTCCTAATCGCAACGCGCCTGCTGGATGACCTTCTCGATGTTCGCCTGCTGCTGCGCCTGCAGCTGGCCGAGGCTCTGGTGGATCTCGAGGTTCTTCCCCGAGAACATCCACTCGTCCTTCCAACCCTTCTCATTGGCCATCGCCTGGAGGGGGAGGATAGAAAGGATGAGGATAGGAAGGGGGATGATATGAATGGACAGGGAGGAGGTGCACGAGGATTGGAAGGAGGAGAGGGAGGAGGAGGATAGGAAGGATGGGGCCGATGAGGATGGGGCATGAGGAAGATGAGGAGGAGGAGGAAGAGGAGGAGGGAGAGGACAGGGAGAAGGAGGATGAGGAGGAGAAGGAGGAGGATAAGGAGGAGGAGGCGGAGGTGCCGGACGGGGAGAGGGATGGGGGAATAGAGGGGGGGAGAGGGAGGGGGGGAGACGCGCAGACGGCGGGAGAGGAGGGGGAGCTGAGGGATAAGGAGGAGCAACAGGGATAGGAGGAGGATCGGAGGATATGTGAGACGTGGACAGGATGAGGAGAAGGAGAAGGATGAACAGGATCAGGAGAAGGAGGAGCAATATGGCCTAACTTATGGATAAAGAGGACGATCAGTCGGACAAGGAGGAGGAGGGGCAGGCGAATGAGGATGATGAGGAGGAAGATAAGGATCATGAGGATGAGAAGTAGGACGAGGAGCAGGGTCAGGGATCAGGAGTGGAATGGTCGCAGGAGGACGAGGAGCAGGGTCAGGGATCAGGAGGGATCAGGATGATGAGGAGGAGCAGGACGAGGTCCTCCTCCTCCTCCTCCTCCTCCTCCTCCTCCCCGTCCTCCTCCTCCTCCTCCTCCTCCTCCTCCTCCTCCTCCTCCTGCTCCTTCTCCTCCTCCTCCTCCTCCTCCTCCTCCTCTTCCTCCTCCTCCTCCTCACCCTTTCTCTGCTCCGCTTCCGCCTTATCCACCGCCGTCTCCTGTTCCTCTTGTTCCTCTCCTTACCTTCCTCCTCCTCCTCCTCCTCCTCCTCCTCCTCATCCTTCCCCTCCTACCCCTCATCATCGTTTGCAATGGCCCACAGTGCCTCGACCAGCTTCTCGTCGAGGATGTCGAACTCCTTCGGCGGCTTGACCAGGTTGCGCTCCAGCGCAAGCGTGAAGAGCTCCCGCATCTGGATGCGGAACTCACGCTTGGTGCGCGTGGCGAAGCTCGCCAGCCGCGTCTGCGGGCCCTTCCCAGTGAAGATGAAGATCAGCCTCGACGCGCGCGGCGACGACCGACGACCAATGGGAAGAGGGTGGATGGAAGGGGGAGCGGAAATGAGAATGGCGGGGTAATGGATACGGGCGGGGAGAGGGAGGGAGGGGAAAGGGGGGGTGAGCGAGAGGAAGGGTGCGACGGAGAGAGGGAGGGGGGCACGGGAGAGGGGAGAGGGAAGGGGATAACCTCATCCTTACACATCTCATTCTCCTCATCCTTGCCCTCCTTGCCCTGAGAGCCCATGGCACACCTCCGCGCTGCCCCCCGCTCCTGGCATCCACTTCCTGCCAACGCTGCCTCGTCGAATGCCGTTTCTCCTCCATCCCTGTTCCTTCCTCTTTGTCTGAGTTGTCCCCCCTCTGCCTCCTCAGCCTCTACGTCCTCCTATCCCTACCTGCCTCTCCCCCTATCCTATGCTATCCTCCTACCGCCCTCTCCTGCCCGACCCCCCCCCTACCCCTCCCCTTCCCTCATCGGGTGCGCCTCGCCAAGTGGTTGTCCGACGCCTCCGACAGGAGGGGCGCCGCAAGGTAGCGGCCGTCGATGCACTCTAGGACCTTCAAGTGCTGGGCCCGCTTGAGGCCCTGGTGGCCCCCCAGCGTTCTGTAGCACGACGAGAACCACTTGTCCTCAGACGCGCACCTGGGGGGGACTGGATGGGGCCTCCTCTCATCATCATCCGTCGGTTCCTCCTTCTTCTCCTGCTCCTCGCCCTCCTCGTGCTCTTTTTCCTTCTCCTCCTCTTCTCCTCCTCATCCCTCCCCCTCCTCCTCATCTCCAGCCCTTCCTGCTCCTCTTCCTCCTCCTCCTCCCCCCCCACCCCCCTCCTCCTCCTTCTCCTCTCTTCGTCTCCTCCTCCTCATTCTCTCATTCTCCTCCTCCTCCTCCTCCTCCTCCTCCTCCTCCTCAGTCTCCTGACCCTCCTTATCGTCATCATCATCCTCACCAGTATCCTTCTCCCCCTCCTTCTTGCCCTTCTCCTCCGCGTTGTCCTCCTCCTCCTCCTCCTCCTCCTCCTCCTCATCCTCCTCTTTCTCCTCTCTCCGTCTCCTCATCCTCGTCATTCTCTCCCCCTCCTCCTCCTCCTCCTCCTCCTCCTCCTCCTCCTCCTGCTCGTCCTTCTCGCCATCATCATCCTCTCCCGTCTCCGCATCCTCCGCATCCTTCGCATCCGCATCCTCATTCTCTCCTTCCTCCTTCTCCTACTGACCTCTCTACCCCCTGATTGTCCTCATCCTTCTCCTACCCTGTACCTCTACCCCTCCAGGCACGAGGAGTGTGAAGAATAATCACAATGATAAGGATGAGGGCGGGGGTAACCCACTGCGAAGGAGGGGGGCGGGCCCAGACAGGAGCAGGGAGGGAGGGGGGGGCGAGGAGGGAGGAAGATGTCAGGCAGTAGGAGGGGAGGGAGATGTGGAACGCACGCAGAAGGAGGGGGAGGTGGTAGGGACAAGTGGGTTCGGCCATATCTCATATATGACCGAACCCTTTTTTTGTGCCGCCCGACCTGCGCAGCTGGCGCGGCTTGCGCGTGGTGTCGGGCGGCTCGCCGCCCCTGCCCCTGCCCGCGCGGCCCTTGTGGCGGTGCTTGGCGGGCGTGGCGTCGAGCTCCTCGTCGTCGCTGTCGGGGCGCTCGGTGCCCGAGGAGCACCTCGGGTCGTCCTCCTCGTCGCTCCCGAAGAGGTCCTCCAGGCCGCTGTCCTCCTCCGCCCTCCGCTGCTTCTTGCGGGCGCCGCGCGGCGAACTGCGGCGACCCTCCGTGGCGCGGCTGGGGCGGCGGTCCATGCCCTCACGGCTGGAGCGGCGGTCCAGCGCGTCACGGCTGGAGGCGTCGCGGCGGCGGCCGCGAGCGGCCGTGGGCTGGCCCGAGCGACCGCGGCCCTCGCGCGAGCGAGCGTCACGGCGGTCGCGCCCGCCGCCGTCGTTGCTGCGGCCGCGGGGTCTGCGGCGGAGCGCGTCGAAGTAGTCACCCGCACGCTTCGACATGGCGGGCGGTGCTCTCACAAGAGAGGAGGCGTTGGACGAAGCAGGAGGCCGCCCGAGCCAAACGAGGAAAAAAGGTGGAGGAAGGCCATGGGCTCGGGCGGCGAAGCGAAACAATGACGGACTGGAAGGAGGAATAATAAAGGGCTGGAGGAGGAGAGAAGGACTGGGGAAGGAGGGGAGGGAGGAGAAGGGAGGGTTGTGGAAAACGGGTGGCATGAGCCGACTGATAAAGAAATGGCGGGAGCGTCGTGAATGTACATTCTCCTGATCTTGCTCCATATCTATACGGCCTCCATGTTTATTATGCTCCTTCTCCGTCATTATGCTCCTCCCTCTCCTCGTCGTCCTCCTCCTCCGCCTTCCCCTCCTCCTTCTCCTCCTCCTCCTCCTCCTCATCCTCCTCTTTCCCGTCCCCTACCCCAGTTATCCTCCGTATTCTTGTCATGGGGGGGGGGCCTTTTCGAAGTTGACCGCGACCCCGAGAAACATTGATTGGGGTACTGGGCGCCCACCTTTCCAAACGCGAAAAAACAAGCTAAACGGGTTTCAATGGAGAACGGGCCGCTGATGGCCAGAGGGCACGGGTCAATGATGCCACGCGACTCAGTTAGGCGCGACGGAAGTCGCGCCAGGGACGCTAGGCCAGCGGAAAGACAGAATCTGGATGCGCCACAAGGCAGAGCAGCATCGCGTTCCAAGAGCAGGATGTGGCAACCGCAAGAGTGCCTTAAAATGTGTTAATGCGATTTGGTCTTGGGCCCCATAATTCTCGGACCCCATAGGGGCCTTGCCGACAGTGGCGCCGTCGGCGGAGGGATTTGGGGCTGGTTGTGTCGGCGCGTCGGTTGGGATGTTCTTGTCGTCGACCTGTTGGACCTGTTGCGCGTAAAAGGGTGCGACAATGTCCGTGCGCTCGTTGCATGGTGCCCCACTGTTGAAAGCAGCTTGGCCGACAATCCATCGCGTGGGCAGCCAGGGCAGCAATGAGCATGGCACGTCTGGTGAAGCGGGGTCGCGAGGGTGATTCCGAAGTATCCTGCAGGCGCTGTCGATCGCCAAGATTGGCTTGGAGTTATGGTAATGCGGGTCGTCCCCCGCGCCCCGTCCAGGTAGGCGAGTTTCGTTCCAATCGTTGACTAAGGCTCTCCTCACTCAGCCGAAATTGCTCGCAATGCCTCTTGGTTGGCGCGCGGAGTTCACCGATCGTGGTTCCCCAGATGAGGAGCGCCAAGGTCTGCCAGTCTTTTGATGAGAAGTTGGTAGTCTCAGCTCTATCTATAAACTGCGCAGTCTCAACCTCCTCTGTCAAATGGGCAAGATAACGCCTAGTGTCATTGAGAAGCACGTTCCACTTGGTGCTGGTGGCGCAATGGAGGTTCTGTCCTTCTGGAACTCCGCCGACCCTGCCGGGTGGCTTTTCCTCCGGGTCAATCCCACCTGCGCCGGGGAGTGGCAATCTTTTTCTTCGGTCGGGATCCTGCGTCGCGCGTGCTGAGGAGCCTGTGGCCTGGAAGCTGGGCGCTGGGGAGTGCACCTGGTCGGAGGCGGCAGGGTTGCTCCCGTCGGGGGAAGCCTCGGCTGCTGGAGAGTGGGCAGGAGAGGCAACGGGGGTTGCGGGGTGGTTTGATTGTCGGGCGGGGAGGAGGGGGTTGCGCCATGCGGTGGATGGGGTTCAGCGGGAGTGGGAGGGGTGGCAGGGGAGACGTTGGGGAGGGGAATGTCCGCCGCGGCGTGGTCTCCAGGAGAGGTCGAGGCGCTCGCTCTGAAGACAGCTGCGGGAGCGGCGGGTTGCCGCCGTGGAGGTCGGGGCTGCGCGGCGGGCGCGGGGATTGACTGAGTCAGCTGGGCTGGTTGCGTCGTGAAGGCGGGGACTTGGCAAGGGCCGCTTGCCTGGGTGCTGCGTCCTGGGTCTGGGCGTCGTCGGACACCAGCGCTGACGCTTCTGATTCTGTTGTTGAGGACCACAATGGCCTCTTCTGCGTTGGCCGCGACCTGGCGGGGCATGGCCAGTGCAAGGTCTCCTCGTGCTCCAGGGGAACGAAGAAAAAGATCGAACGTGTACTGCGGGTCAACCTCTCCCGCTGGTGCAAGCCATTGCTGGAATGGTGCTTGCCTGTAGAAATTGGCAGGAATCTCGCGGCCCTGAAGCAATTGGTATACATGGTCTCTCTTGAGTCGCATGGGGCCAGTCAGCTCAACGAGCCAGAGCATGGTGAAGACGTCCCAGCAGTATCTCTGTATCCGGTTTCCTGCGGCGGTTCTTCTTTCCTTTATCTCCGCGCGCCCAACGATTGCCCGAGCGAAATCGTGCACTTGTTGCTCGCGGGGCGTAATCTCAGATTGGTTGAGGAGGGCTCCGGCCGCAGCGACTGCGTCTTCCTGGTAAGAGACAAGCATGGGAGGGGGGGGCATCGTCGCCGGGCGCCGGGGAGCAGGGCAGCGAGCGAGGGGTGGACTACTGGGAGGGCGGGGACCCTTTTAGGGGAAAGCTGGGTGTCGATGCGTTGATTGTCACTGTGGACGTGCTGAGGGGTCGGTGGGAGGTCGATCTCAAGCTGGACGAGAGTGGGCGCGCTGGGTGGAGTCTCGGTGGATGCAGAGATGAAGACGGGGCCGATGGTCAGGCAGGCCTCCATGGTGGTGAGAGGGCGTCAGCTGGAGCTGCTGGTCGAGCGGTTTCCCATAATTTCTGACGGGGCGGCCGCGGTGGTCCACGAGGGCAATGTGCAGTGTAGCGCGGCTCGCTCTCCTGCTGTGGTGACCATGAGGCTGCCGCCGGCTGCAATGACGAGAACTGCGAGTTCCCCTGGGCAGAGGCTGAGCCCCACTCGTCGCGCGGACTCGCTGTCGTGTCTCGCGGGGGGAGCCGACAGCTCACTGTGGCCGTCACCTAAGAAGGGCCGAAATCGGCTGCTGTTCTCCGACAGCCAGTCTTCGGCGATTGTTTGTTCGGGGGGGGGGGCTGCGGGGCGTCAGTGGTTTCGGGGGCGCAAGTGGGTGGCCACGGCCGCGCCGAGAGCCGTGCGCTGCCTTGGCCAACGGAGGTGGTGCACGCGCGGTTACCTGACCGCGCGGGCTGCGACTGCGGGCAGCGTGTTCGCTGCTGCGCTGTGCGAGGTCGCTACACATGTAATGGCGCTGCTCCTGACAATGTGGGATCCGCGTTGATTGATGGGCTGAATGGCGAGAACTTGTGGGTGGATTGCCGCGCGGTGTGTTTGGCTGGTATCCTGGTTTCTAAATCTGTCCAGGAGTCCTCGTATGCCCCGTGGCATCTGGGGCGCCCGGCGCGCTCCACCCCTGGCTGCCGTGGCAGGAAAGATGCGATATTCAGAGCTCTCAGTCCTGAGATAGGCACTCCCGCCAAAGGCGCCAGCCATGGTGTCGCTGGCAGCAGTGCGGATCGGCACCTGTGACATCTGCTGATAACATTTGAAATCGGGATGGTATGCGTGGAGGCACCGTGCCTGCTCGACGGTGTCTTGTCCCGTCTGCCCGGCGTCTGCGATGTTCCATCTGAGGCGGGAGCCCGGCTCAGTGTCTGTGAGTCTGCTCAGCGAAGGGCCGCCATCCCATCCCCTGGTCAAGAGAAGCCGCCGAAGTGGAGTCGGATTCTGGTAAGATCTGCCTAGCAAGGTCTGCGGAGCCTCCTGCAAGAGTCTGCCTGGCAGTGCGGGGCAGCGCGGCAGCGATCCCTTCGGGCGTTTTGATGAGAAGTAGCCTGGTTGTGCATACTCCCACACTGTAGTGCACTGCTCGTGCCGCTTGACAGGCGACTGAGTGCGCAAGAGGGGCGGAAGGCGGATTCGTGGAGTGATGTTAACTGGGCCTCAGCGTTTCGCTCGTCTCCGTCCGGTCGATGGGCGTAGCATCGGACTACGTGGTGGTAGAGTTCCCTCAGTCCTTGCCTTTTCAGTGCGGCATCCTTCGGCAGCGAATTCCTGGACGTGGCGCGGGCGGCTGATAGCGAATTGCTATCTTCGTTGGTGGTGTGATAGACCCAGCGAGAGATTGGTGCACAGACCTGGTCATTTCCGTTCCCAGCAACGACGACATGAAGAGCGTTTGACCTGTCATGGTTCTGCCTTCCCCAGTGTACGACAGGCCCGGGAGGGGTGACAGTTCCCAGCGAGATCCCTCCAAACTCAGCTTGGCTGGCCAGCAGCTGAAAGTATGGAGGCGTCATCCTTTCAGTGGCTAGACGCCGTCCAACTGGGGCGATGTGTGATAACCGAGCGGCAGATCGGGCTCCCCAGCGGGCGTTGGCAATGGTGAGCAGTTCGGCGGGATCGGGGCCCTTCGGTGTTTCGGGGCCTTCTATCGTGAGGGCCAGCACGGTGCACTTGCGATTGGTAGCCATGATGGTCTCGAATATGGTGTCAGCTTGTGCAGCACGTAGGCTCGTGAGGACGATCTCTGGCCCATCAGGCTGGTCTGAGTCAATGATCATCTGCCTGATTTGCTGCGTGGTCTGTGCGCGCGGGCGGGCGGCAGCGTCGGCGTCTATGTCGCCGACTAAGGACTCAGGAGCGACTACCATGTCTGCCAGGGACTCCCTTACTGCTTCCCTAACGAGTCCAGCCGGGAACATAGGTTTCCCTTGAGTGCGGTTGAAGTCGAGCGGGTGCATGGTAACCAGTGCAGCGCATCCTTCCTGTGTGACCATGGGTGTTTCGCGTAGTCTGTTCCGCATCGGCGGTTCGTCAACCGTCGTGCTGTCTAGTGCGTCTGTGTTGCGGTTGATCTGTATCGAATCGCCGATGGCTTGGACGTTTTCGTCAGGGATGTTGTGGACAACTCGCTGTGACGAGCTAGCACCGTTCCGTTGATCCGGTCGGGGTATCTGCAGGCATCCTGGTCCGAGGTCGTTGATGGCACGCGCAAGTTCCTCGGCAGTGGCCTTCCCTGGAGACCTGGGATGTGGTGCGCCGTCATTGCGCTGTGCAGTTCTTTGTGGCGTGCCTTGAGGTCCCGGTGCTTGAACAGCGACGTTCCCAAGGTCGGGTTCTCTGCAGTGTGGGCACTTATTTGTTCCATCCCGGGGTCAGCGAGACTGAGGACGCTCGGTTGTTGTAGTCTCCACGCGGCCAGGCAGGCAATGTGGAATTAGTGACAACATGGAATGATGGCAGTCGTGGTGGCATCGAGGGCTGGCCAAGTGATAGCGCACTCAGGTGTGTCTCCGGTCCCACTCCGCGGAGAAGTAGGACTGCGTGTGGGATGTGCTGGCCTAGTCGCTCGTAGTATACATTCAGCGCATGGTTCCCTGAGCACGAAGGCGTCTCTGGTGGCGGATTCGCCGCTTGTGGCCGCCACGTGAGTTATGCGGTGGAAGAGGGGAGCTAAAAATGGTCGGGGTAAAAGGCTCGTAGGCCTGGAAATCCTCGGCCCGCGTCCCGGTGACGAGCTCCAGGAGCCGCTGTAATTCCAGAGGCGTGTGAACGTCCGCTGGTGGGGATATTTTTTTGGTTCGCGGCTCCAAGGCAAATGTCAGGGAGCGGACGCAGCGTCCGGGATGCGGCACGGAACGAATTTGCGAACACAGCCGCCACTGTCGGCAGCCGTTCGCACCTGTAAGACACACTCGCAGTTGCACATGCACAGAACAACATAAACTCAATTCGCAAGCAAACGCACATAGGCGCAGCAGCGAAACCGAAGGGAACGAGCTGCAAGTGCCAAGACAGCACACTGACTCGCCGGTGCGGCGCCAGACTCAAGCTGACAGTGCGAAAGCGAGAGCAATCGACCATCACACACAAACGCGATACCATGTAGACAACGGTGAGGCAAAAAGGGGGCCTGTCTCATCGAACTCACTGACGCAACAAGGTAGCTGGACCGCGTTGAAGCCTTCAGTAGACGAACAACTGGTGTGCAATAGCGAGGTTGACCACCTTCAGCCGAAGCCAGTGCGCGAACATCGTATCCGACACACGCAGTTCGGGGGCATAACGATGTGAAGTGCTGACACGAGCTGTGCAGATTGCTCTGCAAATACAGCGACCGCGAACAGCAGAAGGCTGAACCACTCACTACAGAGCCGTTCCCAGGGCAAGGCCAGGCATCAGGCGTCGCCCGGTGGGGATTTTTTTTTGTGTTTATTATTTTTTACAGCCGCAGGCGGAAGCGCCAGCGGCGGGCGGTCGCGGGCGGGCTGCGGCCGCGACTACGGCGGGCGCGCGCGAGGCCGCGGTCAGGCGGCAGGCAGCAGCGTCCCAGGGCGTCAGAGCCAGCGTGCAATCCAGGGAGTCTGCGGAACAGCCCCTGAACGAGACATGCAACGGCGCATCCAGGGAGTCTGAAGACAGGCGCCCGGTGGGGATACGCGAAGCGTCAACAATTATGTAGGGGAACCGATTCCATGCGCGCGAGTCGCGGAGGGGGCTGAGTGGAACAGAGGCTCAAGTTCTGCAGAAGTGTTAATACGTAGGGCTATATTACTTACTACAAAAGAACAACTAAGTTACTTAGCGCTACTCAATAGGTAATTCGGCTTGCTGTCCAAAAAGAAGACACATACTTATAAGTATCCCAGATGTAGTTACCAAACCAAGCACACACTTACATTACTTATATCATTATTGCACAACTTGCGCCATTTACACCAGAACAAAATCACTTCAGCCCAGCCACAACGAGTCCTCAAGTAGCACAAAAAGCTCCAGCCTCTAAATGATTATTGGTTCCGGGCCGATTTCGGTGGATTCCGGGTTTCTGGGTTCCGGGGGTCCCGGTCGATCTCCTTATCGATCTCTTTAACGCGCCCATGCCAAACCATCGATATCTTTATAATATCTCCCTCCTCCTGCTCCTCCTCCTCCTCCTCCTCCTCCTCCTCCTCCTCCTGCTAGGCCCTGGACTCGGGTCGGACGAAGGGGGGCGAAGTAGCAAAGGGGGTGTTGCCGAATCAGCTCACGCAACTGCTTTTCATAGCGCCTACTGGCTCCGGAAGCGCCCATGCATCGAGAAACGCGCCCAGTGGCGGGGCCGGAGGCGAGCTGCGCGCAACAAATATCGTACCCCCTTTTCGTATCCTCAGGCATGCATGGAACTCCCTCCTTTAGCAAAATATCCTCTGGCGAAGCCGACCCGGGAACTAGACCCGGCGGGCGCAAGCCTGCAACAAATGTGGCCACACCGCCCCCTCGAGAACAGAGAACGGCAGGGTGGGGTCTCTGCATGTCCCCCGTCTCGTGCGGCCCGGTGGGCGCTGGTCGGGCGCGTGCTTCCCTCGACGGAGAAACAACTGCGCAAGCATAAACTTTCGGAGGTCCGCGCGGAGCTCAGACTTCTTCTGCTTACGGTTGGCGTTGGAAACACAGCGTGCAACATCGAACTCCGAGAGGTCCGTTTTCCCTGTGAGACGATGCCCCCGCGAGGGCACCTTCTGTGCGCGCTGTTCCCCTGCGGGGGCTTCTTCGGTGCACGCTACCCCCGTAGCAAGCGGGCCAGCGGCGCCACATTGCACGCTATCGATCCTTCCACCCCCAACCGCATGCCGTTTCTTCTTCTTCGATTTTCGGGGCGCCCCGGGGGGGCCTCCTGCCGCCCGAGCCCGCGTCCACGCAGTTGAACCTCGGCGGGGCGCCCCCCGGCCTGCTGCTGCTGCTGCTGCTGCTGCTGCTGCTACGAGGGGGCAGGCAGACAGACAGGCAGAGCCCAAGCGCAGGAGCCCGCAGAGAGGGGGCCGGAGCGAGTCGAGGTCCGAGCGGATTGGGGACTGAGCGGGGAAGCGAGGAGGGCAAGCCAGGACAACGCAAGCCACCCCCATCCCCAGCCAGGACCCCCACTCCCGACCTGGTGATCCAGGTGGTCCTGGCTGGGGGTGGGGGTGTTTTTGTCCTTTGGGCTCTTGGAAGCCAAAACCACGCTCACCCCCAGCCATGACCAATCAGATCCCCAGGTCGGGAGTAGGGGTCCTGGCCAGGGGTGGGGGTGGCTTGTGCTGTCTTCAGCGAGGGGGAGCTCGGCAAGATAGGTCGCCTAACTTCGCGCCCCCGCGAGGCCGCTTTGGAGATCGGCAGCTCTCCAGCCCAGGCCGCGACGCGCGAAGCGCGATAATCTCCGCGCCCCTGTGTGTGACCTGGGCTGCGACGGCGCAGCCACGAGCGAAGTGCCCACACCTCCGACGAAATGACCTTTTCATGACGCGGACACCCAGAGGTCTCGACCCACTCCCTGAGACCAATTTTTCGTCCTGAGTGTTTTTGTTGACGGTCTCGAGGCCCGGTTAGGGCCCCCGAGGGCTGAAAACAATGAAGAACCGCCCGTCGCGCTTTTTCCGTGACTCGAAGGGGGTCTGGGCAGGGGCCAAGGGCCTGCGGCCCAGCAAGCTGTCTGCGCTCCCGCGCACGGGCCCCGAGATGCGCAGCCTCCTCACGGGAGCTGAACCCGAAGACGAGCAAAGCCTCGCATCAAGTCGACGCCATCCCCCCCCCTTCCCCCACACTGACCGGTGCTGCCATAGGAAGGACGAGGGGAAGGATGGGGAGGGAGGGGGAAGCTGAGAGCAGAAACGCCGCCCTCATAGTAAGCACCCCAACAAGCAAAAACGTTTAGCAAGCGCACTGAATGAAGACATCGCACATAACAGGGCTGTTTATTAAACGCCCAAAGCCGTTGAGTAAACGCCACTTATGGGTGTCAGATGGTTTCCCTGCTCCCGAAGAAGGACACGACAAGACAAGACGCGAAGCGGGCCAAGTCTCAGAGTGGTGGGATGACGCCTGCTGAGGCTCTCGGGGTGCGCAAATTGCGCCTCTCATTGGCTACTGCTGGAGGCAGGCCTTCTCTGGCCGACTGTGGGATAGCTCAAAGGGGAAGACAAACTGCCCACATGCGGCACCATCCTTCGGAGGAGCAAACAGCAGCAAAATGTTCGAGAAAGAAAGGAGGCGAGCCGGAGGAGGGGGGAGGGGGGCGAAAGGGTGCGGAAGGAGGACGAGGAAGAGGAGGAGAAGATATGACAAGACACGACCATGGGCCCGCAACTTTCGGTTTAACTGTGAAGCGCGGGGCGGAAGTGGCAGCCACAAGGCCGCTTTCGGCGCACGCCGAACAAATATTGAACGGAAAGGGAGGATACGAACAGCTTGGGATTGGAGGGATAGCTGGGAGTACACTGGCAGCTGATGTGTTCGCTCTTATTAACTTGTATATATGTGTAGATATACGTGTGTATATATAGCAGGTGCTCTTGTTTATATTGTGCGCCTCCATCTTTCGCAATCGCAACAGGGGGACTCCTTTCCAGTTCTGTCATGCATGCGAAATATTTCTTAAGTAAGGATGGTTGGGAGACACGTGAATTTGACGAGGCAGAGGAAAATGGAACGGAGACGAATATGGGGAGGGATGGCGAGGAGAAAGTGGAGGGGGGATGGCGGAGAACGACTTTTGAAACCACAGAATGCGCATTATGTGGCTGGGTGGGTGGGTTCGCCGTCGCAGAACACAGTCGTGCCCGGCCGCACGAATGTTTTTGTCTGAGAGGGCTGCCCCTGTTGCTGCTGTTGGTGCTGATGTATGAAAGAGTGTGTTCTACCGCTGCTGGCGGACAACTGGGGGGGGCCACTGCGGGTTCCCAACCCGCCCCTCCCCCCTCCCCTCGAAAACCGGGTGGGGGGGTCACTACGGGTTCAAGCCCCTCCCCCCCCCAGTCCATCATCATGAAAAGGGGGGGGGTCACTACCCGTTCGACCCCCCCGCCCTCTCGAAAACCGGGGGGGATCACTACCGGTTCGAACCCCCCCCCCTTCGCCGCCGGCAAACGTGTCCCGCTCCTCGGGACAGTTGGACAATGGTGGGGATGCTGGGACAATGGTGGGAACGGTGGTGGTGGGGACAGTGGTGCGGGGACAGTGGGACAGTGGTGCGGACAGTGGTGGGGACGGCGTTGGTGGAGACAGTGGGGAGGGGACAGCGGGACAGTGGCGGGGACAGTGGGACAGTGGTGGGGACGGTAGTGGCGGGGACAGTTGTGAAGGCGGCGGTGAGGACCGTGGTGGGACAGTAGTACGGTGGGGAAAGTGGTGGGGGCAGTGGGGACAGCAAAGTGGGACAGCGGCGGCGACAGCGGGACAGTGGTGGGTGCAGTGGGGACAGTGGGACAGTGGTGGGGACCGTGGTGAAGGTGGGGAGAATGGGGCCGTGGTGGGACAATGGTGGGGAGAGTGGAGGCAGTGAGACACCGGTGGGGGCACTGGTGGGGGCAGCGGGACAATGGTGGGAACAGTGTGGACATTGGTGGGGACGGTGGTGGTGGAGACAGCGGCGCGGGGACAGTGGGAACGCGGTGGACACAGTGGGACGGTGGAGGGTACAGCGTTGGTGGGGACACCGGTTAGGGCGGTGGCGAGGACGGCGGCGGGACAAATTTGACAGAAACACGGCGTGGACAGCTGTGGGGACAGTGGGACAATGGTGGGAACAGTGGGACAGCTCAGTGGGACAGCGGCGGTAACAGTGGGACAGTGGGGGCAATGGGACAATGGTTGGGGCCGTGGAGAAAGTGGGGAGAGTGGAACCGTGGAGGGAACAGTGGTGGGGGCAGTGGGGACAGCGCGACAGTGGTGGGGGCGCTGGTGGGGACAGCGGGAACGGTGGTGGGAACAGTGGGGACAGTGGTGCAGCGGTGGTGAGGACACTGGTGCTGGGGACAGCAATTTTGGACGCCCGAAATGGGCACGGAAACAACGGGCACAAAGCCCAACAGCAAATGTTGACCCGAACCAACAGCGGCCTCTGTTGGGCAGGCGGCCTTCTGTCTCAAATGGAGACAAGCCGCGGCGGCGCGGACAGCCAGTTCAAAATGAACAGGAACTGCTGTTGGGCATTGTACCCAATCTTTCTGTACCCATTTCGTGCGTGCAGAGCAATGGGGAATGTGGTGCGGACGGTGGTAGGGGCCCGGGAATCGTTTGCTGGCGGTGAGCGTGCGGGGGGGGGGTGCGCGAGCCGGTAGTGGCGCCCCCCAGTTTTCTGGGGTGGGGCGGGGGCTCGAACTGGCAATGGCCCCGCCTGGTTTTCGGGGGGAGGGGGTGTTCGAACCGGAAGCGACCCCCCCTCCCGTTTTTTTGGGGGAAGGGGGGGGGGTCGAACCGGCAGTGGCCCCCCTCAGTTGTCCGGAAGGGAAAGGGGGGAAAGGGGGAGGGTTCGAACCGGTGGTGGCCCCCCCATGGTTTTCGAGAGGGGGCGGGGGTTCGAACCGGCAGTGACCCCCTCGGTTTTCCGGAGGGGGTGGGGTCGAACTGGCATAGTCGTGGGCGAACGGGCCCAAGCAACTTGTGGCGCCCGAGCTGTGCCCAAATGGTTCCCGAATTGGATGCGTGATTTTTTCGATGACTGCGCGGTGTTGCGTTGCGTTTTCGCGCCGGCGCTTCAGTCTGCGAGGGCAGCATTGCGCGCGGCCATGAGTCGGGGGCCAACGACGCCACGACAACGGCGCACATCGCATGAGGAAGTGCGCGCGGCGGCTGGAGGCTGCAACGTTGGCGCTATCATCGCACGCTTGAGGTCGCCCGCGCGACGGCGCGCGCGCGCCCTCGCGCGCTGCCCGGGCAGCCAAGCGAAGCTCTGACGCGACGCGAGCGCCCGATTGGGCCGCCCGAGGCGGGCGCGGCGGCAAGCGCGCAGCTCGGGCCCGACAGTGGCGCGCGCGCGCGGAAACGCCGCTAACGAATCAAATCTTCCGCGCGATGCGCCGACGATTGGACGCTGGGGGCGCGCGCGCGCGGGGGCAGGGTCGCTGTGCAGGGGGCAGGGGCCGGGCGCAATAAAGCAGCGAGGCGCCCCCTATAACGCCGCGGCGGCAAAGCGGGGCGAATGGGGCAAATCCCAGGCGATTCAGTCGCGCGAAAAGATGCGCACAAACGGCCCGCAATATCCTCGATTGCGGGGATCATGCGACACCGCATGCGCCGCTGATATGTATGTATGTATATATATATATATATAAACAAAAAAAAAACGACCGCCAGCCCGGCGATTCCCTGAGCGCGGCACGGTTTAGTCGACACCGCCCTGACATTCGAGAGCCCGTCTCGGCGCACTGCTGGGGGTCCCTGGGGGGTGCCTGCGCCGCGTTGGGCCGCTGCGCGACTTCACTCAAAATGGCCCCTCCTATGCTGGAATCTCACATGCAGGCGGTCCTCCCCCCCCCCCCCGTCCTCCTTCTCGTCTTCCGTTGTTGCATTTACAACGAATGCGTCGCAAACCGCTCAACGCGGTCCCCCCCTCTCCTCTTCCCCCGCCCCCGTTGGCCGTTAGGGTCCGCCCCCCACAAAGAAAAGTATTCCTCCGCCCTCTCCGTCGCCCCCCCCCCTTCCCAACGTCTTCTGAGAAAGTCCGAAGAGAGGCCGAGGGGCCATGGAAGGGCCCAGGAAGGCACCAGACAAATCCCAAGACGGTTCCAAGAGCGACCCCTGTGAGCACCTGGCGAAGCCTCGCGTAACGGAGCTCGAAGCGACACTGCCCCGCGCCCCCCCGGGCCCACGAGACTGCCCCCGGAACAATATCGGAAAACCTCTGGAAAACCACGAGAGAAACCCGGGAGGGTTCCAGGAGGACACCGAGAGGCTTCAATTCCAAATCGCACCGTGCGACTTAAAATCGAACAACCTTGAAGCCTCATTGGGGGGGGGCTTTCCGGGGCCCCCATCGGGGGCCCAAGACTGCCTGGGGGGAGCCAGAGAGGGACCTCGCGGGGCCCCGAAGGACTCCGAGAGGACCCCAAAAGAGCAATATGACCGAAGACCGCAAACTGCGACGCATTCCTCTGCACCCCCTCAAGATGACAACTTTGCATGCCCTTCCCCAGCCCATCTGGATCCGTCGTGAGGCCCCCAAAACACCCCAGCACTGGGCCGAAGAAGGCCCCCAGGGGGCACCAGGGGCGCTCTGCGAGGGCACGGGGGGAGCCCAATAGGGCACACATTCAAATCGCACCGCTTGTAGTGGCGGCTCTTCGGGGCCCAGGCGGGGGGCCTCTTCGGGCCCCTCTGGGGCGCGCAGAAACTCCCAGAGACCACCGACGAGCTTGCTGCGCGGAGGATATGAAAGACCCCCATTGAGCGCTTTCCCGGCGGGTGGCCGGGCTTCTCGAGGCCCCCAGCGCGGCCTCGCGCCACCCCGTGGGGGCGCTCTCGCAGCCGCGAGAGAGCTCCAAGATGGAGCCCGGTTTGGCTTGTCTTGGGTCGTCTCGGAAGTCGCTCGGGCTGTTTCGACGCCCCTTGAGCCGTCTGCAAGGTCTCCCGGGCCCCCTTGGCGGCACCTTGGGCGCGCCCGCGAGCTACCTCAACGCGCCTGGAAGCCTCGTTCGGGGGGGGCCAAGCGCGCCCGCCCTCCTGCCCACCCTGCGCGCCCTCTTCCTCCGACCGCCCTGCAAGGCCCCCCACCCCCTCTCTCCCCGACGCGCTCGCCTTTCAACGACGGGTGGCGGATGAACAAGAGCAGGGGAAAAGGCCCCCAAGCAGCCCCCGAGAGATCCCGTCGGGGGGGCCTTCGCGCCATCCGTCGGCCCCAACAGTGCCCGCGTCTGACGCCTCGTTGACAGTCGGGGGCCACGGGGGGATAAACCGCGACCCCTAACGGCGCTCGCGAAGTGGCTCACAACTTCGAAGCCCAACGCTCGCACCCCAAGACTGCGGCGCGGCAAACGCTGATCATCGACCTCAGGGCGGCGGACGGTTTGCGGCAACAGCTGCAAAATGCGATCGAAGCAACCCGTCCGTGCTCTGGGGAACCGCGCGTGGATTCGGCCGCGGCGCATTTCGTGCCCGAGTCGGAGCCCGAATGACGCGCCCGAATGGGTGCCCGAATGGAAACGATAAAGCGCCCGAGTTGAAACGATAATGTGCCCGAATGGCATTGTAATGAAAACGATTATGTGCCCGAGTGGAAGCAACGATGTGCCCGAATGAACCGGGAAGGAAACGATAATGTGCCCGAATGGGGAATTATGCGCCCGAACGAAAACCATCATGTGACCGAATGGAAACGATGATGTGCCCGAAAAGAAAAGACATCCCCCTACAATCTAATGGGTCGGGCACGCCGAGACGACCGCATCGATTCGGGCATCGATTCGGGCACCGATTCGGGCGCCGACCGGGGGCGGCCCCGTGCACTTTCGACCCGTCAATTCGGGCGCCATTCGGGCGAAACGTGGGCCGACGGCAAGCGCGTCGGGGAGTCGGTCGCGCGAGCGCCGAATTCGGGCACGCCGTGGCGGTGGCGGCGGCAGTGGCAGGCATCGGCGCAGTGGCGGCGGTGCTGGCCGCTGTCGCGCGCGCGGTGGGTGGCGCCAGCGGGGCCAGCACTGGCAGTCGGGGCACCTGTGGCGTCGGCGTATGCTGAAGCGGGAGAGGAAGTAAGGTGGCTGGTTCAGGCGGCACTGCGGGCAGTCGCAGTCGCTGCCAGGGAGGCCATCATGTCGGAGGTGTCGGTAACGTCGCGCCAGGCGGCGTTGGCGGTGATGGCGGCGTCGGCTGCGGTGATGATGCCGACGAAGTGTCTCCGTTGGACTTGTAAGGGCAGCGGTGTCGGCGGCAATGTTGGCGGCGCTGGCGGCGGCTTTGCGGGGCGTCGGCCATTTTGGCGTCGCCGGCTGCGTGCGCGGCAATACTGGCGGTCGTGCTCGTGGCGGCGGCGGTCGCTGGCAGTGGCGGGGGTGCCAGCGTGGCCGTCGGCGCGGGAAGGGGCCGTTCGGGAACGGTCTACAAGGGGGTGTGGTCGCCGCGGCAACGAACTCGGCGGTCGCCGCGGCAACGAACTCGCCAGTGGTGATGTACGTTGCGGCGACGGCGGTGGCAGTGATAGTGGCACAGGCAACCATGCTGGCTGCGTTGGAGGCGCTGCCGCTCGCAGAACGCCTGCAAGATGGCACAGCGTCGGAAGGGGGCGAGCGCGCCCCCAAGAAGGCCCCTGATACCTCAAAGGGGCCTCCAATATGGCACCGGATAGCCCAGGCTGGGACAACACATGGCCCCACGCGCGTCCAAGAGCCCCCAAGACAGCCCAAGGGCGGCCCCGGCCGGCCACGGAGTCTCACAGGGGCGCCCCTCGCTAACCCCATATACTTCATACGCTCACACAGGGTCGACGATTCTTGCCGTTCCGCCTGCTCGCCCGCTCGGTTCTGCTGAGGCTTGGGAAAGGCTCCCAAAAGAAAACTTGTGGAAGGCCCGCGAAAGACCACGGGCGGCCCGAACAGCGCCCGCGGGGCCCACGACGGCCCCATTTATTAGCTGAGCCACAAGTTATTGTCCCCTCATTGCCCCCCCCGCCGCCTGACCCTCTCGCGATATCTCCACCCTCCGCCTTTTACTGAATCGTGCGCCGCGCTAGGCCGGTCTAACTCGTGGGCCGCCGTGGGCCCTGACGCAAGACTTCTCGAGCCCGAAAAAGGCACCCTGGGGCCTTGGGGGCCGTTTAACCTGGAACCCTAAAGCCCCTGAGACACAACCCGCGTCGGCAGACCCGCCACGCGGGGCGCATGCGCGCGCGTCGCCCCCACGCGGTGCGCGCAGGCAGGGAAGCCGCAACAAGGTTTTCCATGAGTCGAGGAGGGCGCCACAAGCAGTGAAGCGAGGGCGTCCGCAGTGGCAACGGCAGGCGCGAATGGAAACAAGCTGGGGCCCGACCTCCCTTCCGACATCTCCCCTTGCCCCCCCCGTATCCGCCCCTTCCCCCCCCCCCTCCCCGTGCCCGTTCCTGCGCGCTCTTCCTCCCCATCGTTTCCCCTCCCTTTCTCATGGTCAGATGTGAGCAGAATCTCTGTGACCGGAATCAGACAAACAAGCGGCGACGACGACGGCGGCGCCCCCCCCCCTCCCCTCTCCTCGCAATCCCGCCCCGCCCCCCCCGCCCCGAACAATTCCTTCCTGGGCCCCCCGCGAATCCATTATCTCCCTCCCCCGACTCGTCCTCCGTCTCCTCCTCTGAGTGCCCCTCCTCGCCTCCATGACCCTCCCCTTCTGGCAATGTATATACATCATCGTCATTCTTTTCGTCCGTATCCACCTTCCTTCCTCCTTCTCCTCCTCCTCGCCCGCGACGCGCGTTCAAGGTGCCTCGCGATTGGGGGCCGCGCAACAACGCTCTGGCGCGCGGGGCGCGAAAAGTGCCGAGCGCACCGAGCGCACCGGGTGCGGCAGATACACACGCCAGGTGCTGCTCTGGTCGCGCCAGGTTCACTAAATGCGCCCGGTTCGCCACTTGCCGCATGAATGGCAAGCGCGCCACACGCGCAAGTGCGCAAGGCGCGGAACGGCCTAACTAGACGCGAAGCAAAGGCCCCGAAAATAACCAGCCAAGCAATGACCATAACACTCTCGCGGCCCCGGAAACCACCACGAACCATCCATCTAGACCCTACCGAACCATCGTCCGGCAACGCATCAACGCTCTACGTCAATCGCAAGAAGCGGTCGACCACGACCGATCCTCGAGAACGACGGCTAGCAAAGCACTGCAACACTCCACCACGAACAACGCACATGCTTATCCAGACAGGACGCACGTCACACCCCGCGAACATCTCCTCAACATATCGCTACATCCACGGGCGAAAACAACGCCAAACCACGCACAAAAAACGCATTCGGGCACAACCCGCTCGGGACTTGGTCTCGTTCGCCCACGAATATAATGACCCCCCCCCCCCGGTTTTCTGGAGGGGAGGGGGGGGGGGGGTTGCCAGGAGGGATGGGGCGGGCGGGGGTTGGGCACAGGGGGGGGGGGAATTTTTGGAGGGGGGGGTGATCCCCCCGAGTTCCGGAGGGGGGGGGGGAATTAGCCAGAGTAAAGCGGCAGTGGATCACGCTCTCTCTGATGCATCGAAAAGGCTTAGCAGCTACGATCGCCACAAGGCGTGTTGACACTGCAATGCTCGCCCTGACCAAACATGCTGATGCAACAACCTACGCATGCACCACATCGCCTGTGCACATCACAATGCATGGGTGCATGGCAATGCTCTGGTGCACCACAACGCTTGTACACAACTGTGAACGCGTACGCCACAACGCCTTTGCACAACACGGCTGCGGCCACACAAACAAGTTCCGCGAGCACCGCAACGCCTGTATAACACGATCCGCGCGCACACCACAACACCGCCGCGCAGCGCGGCGACTGGCGCCCGTGTGCATCACACTCTACATGTACACCACGGAGCCCGCGTACACTTCTAGGATCCCGACGAGACCCATCAACTGAAACTCGTGCTCGTGGGTGAGGGAGGGGCGCGACCGTATCGAACTAAGAAAAGAACTTGTTTGTGGTTATAATTTGTTGGTGCCGCCTGGAGGTCACTCTAGCAAATGTTTCGTGCTGCGTGCGGCCGCGGCGGCGAAGATTCTTCTATAAGCATGAAGGGGCCGCACCGAGCCGAGAACCGAGAACCGTGACCGAACCGGACCGAACCGGTCCAAAACCAGGAACGTAGAAAACCGAACCGGACCGAACCGAATTCATTCAGAACTGAACCGGCGAGAACCGAACCGAACCAGAACCGGAACCGAATCGGAACCGGGCGGCCCCTGAACCGAACTGACGGGAACCGAACCGAACCCCTTTCCCCTCCGGTCCGGACCCCAGGACCCCGATGACCCCCAGGACTCCGGGACCCCGATGACCCCACAACCTCCCGAATCGACCCCGATGACCCCCAGGACCCCAGGACCCCCCTGGACCCCCGGGACCCCAAAACCCCAGGACCCGAGGGGGGTCGCAGCCCCGAGGGGGGTCGTAGCCCCGAGGGGGGTCGCACCCGCGAGCGGGGTCGCACCCGCGAGGGGGGTCGCACCCGCGAGAGTGGTCGCACCCGCGAGGGGGGTCGCAACCGCGAGGGGGGTCGCACCCGCGAGGGGGGTCGCAGCCCCGAGGGGGGTCGCACCCGCGAGGGGGGTCGCACCCGCGAGGGGGGTCGCACCCGCGAGGGGGGTCGCACCCGGGAGGGGTGTCGCAGCCCCGAGGGGGGTCGCACCAGCGAGGGGGGTTGCACCCGCGAAGGGGGTCGCACCTGCGAGGGGGGTCGCACCCGCGAGGGGGGTCGCACCCGGGAGGGAGGTCGCAGTGCCGAGGGGGGTCGCAGCTCCGAGGGGGGTCGCAGCCCCGAGCGGGGTCGCACCCGCGAGGGGGGTCGCACCCGCGAGGGGGGTCGCACCCGCGAAGGGGGGTAGCACCCGCGAGGAGGGTCGCACCCGGGAGGGAGGTCGCAGCCCCGAGGAGGTCGCAGCTCCGAGGGGGGTCGCACCCGCGAGGGGGGTCGCAGCCCCGAGGGGGGTCGCACCCGCGAGGGGGGTCGCACCCGCGAGGGGGGTCGCACCCGCGAGGGGGGTCGCACCCAGGAGACGGGGTCGCAGCCCCGAGGGGGGTCGCACCCGCGAGGGGGGTCGCACCCGCGAGGGGGGTCGCACCCGCGAGGGGGGTCGCAGCCCCGAGGGGGGTCGCACCCGCGAGGGAGTCGCGCCCGCGCGGGGGGTCGCACCCACGAGGAGGGTTGCACCCGGGAGAGGGGGTCGCACCCGCGAGGGGGGTCGCACCCGCGAGGGGGGTCGCACCCGCGAGGGGGGTCGCACCCGCGAGGGGGGTCGCACCCGCGAGGGGGGTCGCACCCGCGAGGGGGGTCGCAGCCCCGAGGGGGGTCGCACCCGCGAGGGGGGTCGCAGCCCCGAGGGGGGTCGCACCCGCGAGGGGGGTCGCACCCGCGAGGGGGGTCGCAGCCCCGAGGGGGGTCGCACCCACGAGGGGGGTCGCAGCCCCGAGGGGGGTCGCACCCGCGAAGGGGGTCGCAGCCCCGAGGGGGGTCGCACCCGCGAGGGGGGTCGCACCCGAGGGCCTCGCGCCTCCACGTTCCTCCTCCTCCTCCTCCTTCTCCTCCTCGTCGTCCTCCTCCTCCCTCCTCCGCCTCCTCCTCCTCCTCCTCCTCCTCCTCGTCCTCCTCCTCCTCCTCCTCCTCCTCCTCCTCCTCCTCCTCCTCCTCCTCCTCCTCCCCCATCCTCCCTCACTTTTTTTCAAACTGGGTCGTCGCTTACGCAGACGGGGCGCCCAACGTCGCACCTGACCAGTCGGGCCGAACCGAACCGGAGCGGCCACTCAAACCGAATCGTACCGGTCGGACCCAACCGCGCGAAAACCGGAACCGAACCGAACCGGCGGCAGGCCCAAGCCGAACCGGCCGAAACCGGACCGATGCCAAACCGAACCGGCCAAGCAAAACCGACCCGGCTGCAGAACCGGACCGAACCGAACCGAGCCGATCCCTTCATGTATAAGGGTGCCGCGGTTTCGTCCGAGAGGGCCCTGGCCCAAGAGGCTCCCAGGAGTGCTCCAGCGCGGCTCCAAACATCCCCAAGACAGCCGAAGAAACGCCCAAAACTGCCCAAAGGCCCTCGAAAAAGAGGAACGCCTACCGACAGTTCGAGCCTCCCGCTCCAAGGCGCCCAAAGGATACCCCAAGAGGCGCTCAGTCAACCCCTTCAAAAGTACAAGAGAAACCCAAGAGCGCGCCCAAGGGGGCGCCAAAAGGTTCAAATCCCCTCATTTTTTACCAATTGCGCCTCTCGTCCTCGTCCTCGTCTTCCTCTGTTTCTTCTCCTCTTCCGCCTCCTCCTTCTCCTCCTCCTCCTCTTCCTCCACCGCCCCATCCCCCCTCCTCCTAACGTCCTGGGTCGGCGGCACCGGCCGTGAATCCTTCCCAATTGCCTCTGCGGGGTCACGGGGTGGTCACTGCGCCGTATTCGGCACGGTAGTAGTACAGGAATTACTCCAAGAAGTTGCGGCCTACCAGTCACCACAGTCACCGAACAATTGAGAAAGGAGAACTGCTGGAGCCAAGGTACGCCACGCACACACACGCTCACACACGCGACAGTTCAGGGGCCTGCGCTGGCACATGGGTGATCGCACGCGCCGAACGTAGTGTAATTGGACGGCAATGCCGTACCATGCACCTTTCAGCCAGGTCGGACAAAATGGCACGAAGATTCCTAGGAGACTCGCTGGCTACACATGCGGGTGGCGGGCGCGGCTGGCCGCGCGAAGTGCGAGGACCGAGCGTTGGAAAGACACGCAGCACCTGTCTGTGCAACTATCGCCTGGGCCACCCCAATGCCCAACTCTGACGGCGTCACAATCCGGCAATCAATTCCGTTATTTTTGCGGTGACGGGCGATGCGTGTGGGAGGGGGGTCGAATCTGAGAGGGGTGTTCAGGATGTACACGATTTTACTTGGCAGCCCACGCAACTTACGTCGGTACAAATGCAGCCCTGTGCCTGTGCACGCCGCCAGCATGTACATCACAATGCCTGCGTACACCACAAAGCCCGTGTACACTTCCAGGTGCCCGACGGTGTCAAACTTCAACAAATGGCTGGCCCGAAGGTATCACATTCAAAATGCAAGTTGTGAATGTTTATTGTCGCTTTCTGGCAGCGGGAACGGTCCTTCCCCCCGTTACCTGCGCGCACAACAGTGTCTGTGCACACCAGACTGCTAGACACCACCATGCCTGTGTGCACCATAACTGCCGCCGCTGCCGGCGTGTGCGCTCGCGCAATGTGGGTGCCACAACAGCAAGCGCCTGCGCAGACTGCAATGCGCGCGAACTACGAACAGCATACCTGTGCGCTAGGCAACCGGCGTTGCCGCCACGGGGGTGGGTGGGGCGGCGGGCGTTATGATATCTACTGGGTGGTTGGGTGGGTTGGGGGCCACATGACGCGCGCTGCGTTCGCGGAAGAAAACTGCAGCCCAAGTAGGGAGGGGGAAAAGGATGAGGAAGAAGGAAGTGGTGGTGTTGTTGGTGACGTGGGCGTTTCCAAGACCGACTTCGCCACGTCGTGTGCCCAGGCCGGCTCAAGCCAATCGCCCTGGTATCGGCAGATAGGCAGGGCAAAGGGGAGTCCTGAAGCGGGACGGGCTTCAGAAGCGAAAACAATGACGGGACGAAACAACTGCGGATCAAAACGGCGAGTCGGGCGTCTCCTTGGAGGGAGCTCGACGACCCGATCTCTGTACTCCACGTTGATGATGCGCTGGTCCAGTCCGCAAGCCCTTTGCGTGGAAGGCAAATCTTTGTCGTCCTGGTCCGCCTCCTCAACCTGTTCCTCCTCCTCGTCCTCATCCTCCTCCTCCTCTTCCTCATCCACCTTCCCCTTCCTCTTCGTCCTCCTGTTCCTCCTCTACCCTTCTCCAAGGGCCTCCGCGGAGATCTGGAGGCTTCTGGAGATTCGATCCCAGGCCGTCGGTCCATCCTTCGATACTCCATCCTCCTTTCTCCTCATCGTCCTCCTCCCCCATACTCCCCCCTTACCTCCTCCACCTCCTCCCCCTCCTCCTCCTCCTCATTCTTCCCTCTCCTCCTCCTTCGCTCTCCTCCTCCTCCCCATCCTCCTCCTCCTCCTCCTCCTCCTCCTCCTCCTCCTCCTCCTCCTCCTCCTCCTCCAACTCCTCCTCCTCCTCTCCCTCCTACTCCTCACTTCTCGCCACCTCCATCTTCCGTTCCTCGCCCAACTACCCTGCAATCTCAAATCCTCCTCCTCCGCCCCCTCCATCTTCGCGGTGTGGCGCCCGCCCTCCCAATATGTTGCCGTAATCCCCATTGTCGAGGTCGCTGCGGCGTTCCGCGATCCGCGCCAGCATGCCCGCGAAGGCGCTCAGGCTCGGCTGGTCGGAGGCACGTCAACGTCGTCGTCGTCGTCGTCGTCGTCGTCGTCGTCGTCGTCGTCGTCTCCCGGGCGCGCGTGGGAGAAGGAGGAGGACGAGAAGGAAGAGGAGGAGGCCCTCCCAGGAAGAGCGCCCCCCCCCGACCAGAGAAATAACCAAACCGAAAAACAAGAACAATCCGAGGACAAAACGACCAAGGGCAACAATAAACACAAGAAAATCAACAAACAGAGAAAACACCCGAACCGAGGAAAAACCTGAAACGAGGAACACTAGGAAAACACATGTAACGTGGTTTCCATATACAAAACTACAAACACCCAGCAACTGTGGCATCATATTGGCACCCTGCGGAATCCTCAAGGATCCTCGGAACACTTCTGGGTTCCTCATGATTCTCTTGCATTCTCCTGGATTCCCGCAAACCGCATTTATAACAATTTAGGGTTTATTGAAATCTCTCAGGAATCCCCCGTGATTTCGCACACATCGTCAAACCTTATTCGGGTTGATCACGCTTCCCATGGAATCCGCAGAATTCCAGTGGAACCAATCAGATTTTCAGGAATCAAAGTTCCTGCGGATACCTCAGGAATCAGGGACTCATTCCTGCGGATTCCTCAGGAATCAGGGACTCCATCCGAACCAAGAGATTCCTTAGTACTCCTCAGGATTCATTCGGTTACTTGGGAGCACACTGGATTTTTCCGGGCTTCTTCAAATCCCTCATGGGCTTTAGAATCAAATGAGATTCCTCGGAAATCTTGCGACTGTTTCCAGATTCCTCTGGGTTTCCTGTGTTCCTCAGGATTCCGCAGGAACCATCAAGATCTCGAATTCCTTAGATTTCTTCGGGAGCCATCAGAGACCGTCTGGACTCCCCAAAGCTCGTTGCTTCAAGCATGCCATGAAACCATTATGAATATATAGGTTTGTTCCCAACCGTCCTGTGGTGCTGGGTCCTCGATGTATCACCCCGCGTTCCTGCTCCTCCTCCCCGCCTCCGTCCATTTGGCACACCCCTTACACGTTTCGTGGCCCCACAGGGCGTACCGCCGAAGGCTCCAGTGGAAGGACCCGCATGCAGTTCCACCATCGATGCGCAACCCTCACACGTGTCGTGGCCCAATTCAGGGCTCCACCGAAGGCCCCAGACGCAAGGTCCGCATGCAGTTCCACCTCCACTTCGACGCATCCCTCACACGTGTCGTGGCCACGTAGGGTGTTACACCGAAGGCCCCAGTGGCAGGGTCCGCATGCAGTTGCACCCCCATGTCGTCGCACCCGATACACGTTTCGTGGCCCCATATGGTGCTCCACCGAAGGCCCCAACGGCAAGGTCCGCATGCAAATCCACCTCCATTACACGTTTCGTGGCCTCATAAGGTGCTCCAGCGATGGCCCCAGTCGCATGGTCCGCTTCGTGGCCCTATAGGGTGCTCCACCCAAGGCCCCAATGGCAGTGTCCGCATTGAGTTCCACCCCCATGTCGTCGCATCTCTCACACGAATCGTGGCCCCATAGGGTGCTCCAACGAAGGCCCCGGTGGCAGGGCCTGCATGCTGTTCCACTCCTATTTCGGCGCAGCCCTCACACGTGGCGTGACCCCATATGATGCTCCACCAAAGGCCCCAATGGCACAGCCCGAGCGCAATTTCACGCCAATCCGGCGCACCCCCCACACGTTTCGTGGCCCCATAGGGTGCTCCACCGAACGCCCCAGTGGCATGGTCCGCATGTACTTCCACCCCCATGCCAGCGCACCCCTCACACGTTTCGTGGCCCCACTCGGTGCTCCACCGAAGGCCCCAGCGGCAGATTCCGCACGCAGTTCCACCCCCATTTCGGCGCCCCTCCACACGTATTGTGGCCCCATAGGGTGCTCCACCGAAGGCCCCAGTGGCATGGTCCGCATGCAGCTCCACCCCCATTTCGGCGCAGCCCTCACACGTGTCGTGTCTCCATAGGGTGCTCCATAGGGCTATGCCAAAGAGGGCTCCACTACGCCATTTCGGCACACCTCTCGCACGCTCCGTGGCCCCCATAGGGAACTCCACCGAAGGCACGACTGGCCCTTGTTGCTGGCCCCCCCATTCTTCATGTCATTTTCCCCGCGATGCTGGAAAGCCCCAGTGGCAGCGCCCGCATGGTGGCCCCGCCACATTTCGGCACACCCTTCACACGCTTCGTGGCACCATAAGGCGATCCACCGAAAACGCTATTCACAACGCCGGTACGGACAACTGCACGTGGATCGGTAGTTCGCCAGGATCTGCTTGTTCACCGGTTGGTTGTTTTGTGTCTGTTGTTTCATCGGTTTGGGTGTTGTTCTCGGAATGCTGTCGTTTCTCTCGGGTTATCAAACCCGTGTGGGAACCATAGCGGTTCAAAATGTATCATGCATGGGATCGCAACAAATCTCAACACTATCCAATACGCGTGTTCTTCAATTTGGGTGTTCCTCGGTGCCGGTGTATTCCTCGATTCGCCTTATCCTGTTCACAGGTATGTGTGTTTTCTCGGCGTGCCTCCCTTTTCCATGCTTTCTCAAGACCCTGTAGGGCCCCGACCGATTCCAATACTGGTTCTAGTTCGGCCCATGATGGAAAGTCGGTTTGGGGGTTCCTCGGATTGGGCGTTTTTTTCGGTGTGTTTTTTCATCAGTTTGGGTGTTTGTTCCGCGTTATGTGTTTCCCCATCTTGGCATGTGTGGTTCATCGGTTTGTCTTTTGTATATCCTAAGATGGGGCTTTGTTATTACTTGGACGCCTCCTACTCCCTCGTTTTCTCCTTCCCTCCTTTCGGACTTACTCATACTCAGACTTACTCAGACCCAGACTTACTCATACACAGACTTACTCATACTCAGACCTACTCATACTCAGACCTACTCATACTCAGACTTACTCATATTCATACTCCCCAAAGGGGAGCCGCCAGGGGTGTTTTCACGGGCCCGTTCGCGGCCAGTTTGTGGGGATGTCTCAGGCGGTTCGGCTGTTTTGGTGGGCGCACTCGTCTGCGTTTGGAGCAGTTTGTGGGGATGTCTCAGGCGGGGCGCTGGTGTCAGCACCCCTAAGGGGAGCCGCCAGGGGTGCTTTCAAGAGCCCGTTCGCGGCCAGTTGGTGGGGATGTCGCAGGCGGTTTGGCTGTTTTGGTGGGCACACTCGTCTGCGTTTGGAACAGTTTGTGGGGACGTCTCAGGCGGGGCGCTGGTTTCAGCTCCCCTAAGGGGAGCCGCCCAGGGGTGTTTTCACGGGCCCGTTCGCGGCCAGTTGGTGGGGATGTCTCAGGCGGTTTGGCCGTTTTGGTGGGCAGACTCGTCTGCGTTTGGAGCAGCTTGTGAGGATGTCTCAGGCGGAGCGCTAGTTTCAGCACCCCTAAAGGAAGCCGCCAGGGGTAGGACACGGGCCCGTTCGCGGCCAGTTGGTGGGGATGTCTCAAGCGGTTTGGCTGCTTTGGTGGGCAGACTCGTCTGCGTTTAGAGCAGTTACGGGCCCGTTCGCGGCCAGTTGGTGGGGATGTCTCAGGCGGTTTGGCCGTTTTGGTGGGCAGACTCGTCTGCGTTTAGAGCAGTTTGTGAGGATGTCTCAGGCGGGGCGCTGGTGTCAGCACCCCTAAGGGGAGCCGCCAGGGGTGTTTTCAAGAGCCCGTTCGCGGCCAGTTGGTGGGGATGTCTCAGGCGGTTTGGCTGTTTTGGTGGGCAGACGTGTCTGCGTTTAGAGCAGTTTGTGAGGATGCCTCAGGCGGGGCGCTGGTTTCAGCACCCCTAAAAGGAGCCGCCAGGGGGTAGGACACGGGCTCGTTCGCGGTCAGAATCCTGAGGAGGGGGAATGAATGGGAGGCTCATTCAATCATACTCAAAGCTCACTCTGACTCATATTCACTCACTCGCATTCGGATTCACTCGTCTTCATCGGCCCTGTCGCCCACGTGGACGCGCTATTATAGCCAAACGCTCATGAACAGACGCTCACTATGGCATGACATAAAACATGAGATGCACATATGGGGAGCCCCACGCAGTGAGTAATTCTTCGGCTTGTTTCGACTTCCCCAATTAAGCAGGGAGGAGATGCAGAACGAAAGAAGGAGGGCGGGAACCTCGATTTCCGCAATCGCGTAGTGAAGCACACATGCACGCCACGCCCAAAACTCGATCAAAACCGCGGCGACGAAGAGCAGGAGGCCCATCCGCGAAACCAGCCGAAGATTTGTGGAGCGCGATGATTACGAAACGTGATGCTGCCATTCGGGTGGTCCTGCCACCATGGATGCGCTCACTACTCCCGCGCCAAACCACCAAGAGCGGATACTTAACTGTGCGGGAAACGCGCCATGACAGACGAAACGAGGAAAATGAATCGCACGGTGCAGCTCCTCCTCCTCCTCCTCCATCATCCATTCCTCTCCCCAAGCATAACTTCTCCCTTTCGCACCCCGAGGCCGGTCGAAAGGGCGGGCCGGGCGTGTCGCCTGACAGTTCCTCACCATTTGTGATCCTGGAGCTAAAACATGGGCAAGAATTTCACATATGGGAGACGGGTGATTTTCACAATGTGGCTCTCGCCTTAGCGCCGCGCACAATCGTTTTGACAAATGTGTCAGAGTTTCACGGATTGAGGGCAGGTGGTTTTCAAAATGTGGCTCTCGCCGTAGCGCAACGCACATTCGTTTTGAGCAAATTGCAAGAGTTTCACGGATTGAGGGCGGCTCGTTCTCAAACTGTTTAGCGCCGCGCACATTCGTTTAACACAAACTGCAAGAGCTTCGTGGATTGAGGGCGGTTCGTTTTTTAAAAGTAGCTCTCGCCTTAGCACCGCGCGCACTCCTTGGTAACAGTTGCAAGAGTTTCACGAATCCACATGGTCAACGTACCAGATACAGTGTGTGGATGAGGGTACAACAGTTACGTTGATTCGCGGTGTTGAAATCCCAGAAATAGCGTTCTGGCACGATTCAGGATCGTCAAGACGCAACAATCAGATCCGTGGCGTTGGAGACCCGGTAATAATGTTTTGGCATGCTTCAGGGTCTCCAAACGGATGTCTTCCAATGGGGCAGCTCCCTCAGTGGAAATCAACCCGAATAGGGGCCTATGAAGAGAGAGCTCGGAGGGAGGGTGTATGTCAACATCGTTAACGACTGTTGGGTTTACACTGGTCCTCCTCCTCCTCCTCCTCCTCATCCTCCTCCTCTCACTCATTCCTCTCTGCCATCCCCATGCGGCCAGCGCTGCCCGGGGGTCCCTTTGGCCCTGGCTGCTAGTAAGGGGGGCAGCTGTGGCCGCTGGGGTCCTTCTGCTGCGCGGGGCGTTAAAATGCTTTAGTTTATCGAGCGACGACGGCGGCCCAGGCCTGACGCCTCGGGCTTCCCTGTTCCATCGCACCATCGTTTGATGGAGCTTTGGCCCGCCTTCATGCCGTTCGTCCATGTGTCCCCGCCCCCCGCTCCCGCGATCCTCCGTCGATCCCCCCCCCCATCCCGGCGTGGCCGAACAAGTCTGTGGTCGCCACCCTCTGAATTTCCCCGGAGCGGCGAGATTGGTGTTGTTGAGCAGCGCAGGAAGCCTGCAACTCGCCCCAACTGCCCGCACGGGCCGCCCCCGCCGGCGCGCCTAGCGCGCCAGCTCGTCCGCCAGCGCGGCGGCGCGTGGGTGGCGTCGCGCCCCAGGGCGGTGCGAAGCTGCCTCTCGTCCCCTCCTCCCCCTGCGCCGCTTCCTGCTCATTCCTCCTCCTGTGCTTCCCAACGCACGCTCTCGGCGGCATCCTCGTACAGCATCACGCCGCTGTTGAACTCCTCCTCGTCGCCCTCGCGAGCGGGGCCCCATCTCCCGCCCCGAGGGAGGATGAGTGTGATAGCATGATGCGGGGGACGACGAGGAAGAAGAAGAGGAGGAGAACGCACGACGGCGACGACGAGGATGAGGATCAGTATGATGACAAAGGGAGGGAGGAGCAAAGGAGGACGAGGGCTGAAGAGGAGAAATAAAGACGGGAAGGAAGAAGTGTGATGAGGAGAAAGGCGAGGAGGGAACCTGTGTGCGGAGGGGGAGGGATGAGGAGGATGCGGAGGAGGTGTAAGAGTAGGAGCAGCAGCATGAGGATGTCAGCGATAGGAGGAACAGGAGGAAACAGACATGTCCGAAAAAACACTGGCTTACGCTGTTTCTCGATACTGAACGAACAACTCTACATTCGTCATAGTTTGAAGTTTTCTGGCGCGGCATCTGAGCGGTCGGCTGCTGCCACGGGGGGTCATGGCGGCAACGCGTGAGGTGGTCACACATCGGTGGCTCCACCTGCCTCGGCGGCGCAGACCTCTCGGTCACCTGCGCGACACAGCCAACCAATTCAGAAGCTTTGCAGACCAGCCACGCACCAAGCGCGTGCAAGCATGCGGTACGAGAAGTCGTCGGCACAGGACACATGGCGAGCCCCGTGCTCACAGAGCAGGTCTTGGCCAAGAAATCTGCGCACACCTCCAAGATTTCTTTCACGCCGAATACACAAACGTCTCAGATACTATGTATGATTATTGTGTCTCTGGAGGTCTGGGAACTTGAGCTTCCCAAGTAACGTGGCACCCCTCTCTTGAAAAAACAAGCCAACACATAAACATAACTGTCGGAGGTCTGCGCGGATCTCTTGGGTCGAAGCTGGACCGCGGTTGCTGCAAGCTCACGTTGCGATGATGCGGGCGTTGGCTCTTGACGCCTCGTGGATCGCTCAGCCCTGAACGATCGCGGCTGTCCGACGGCACAAATCGTTCGGCCTCGCCGATTCCGGGCCCCTGGCGGTGGCGCTTGGGCAGCCAACGCGTCAGCGCAAGCCTGCCGTTCTGAGGACGTCGCAACCAACCCTGCGGGAGCTTTCAGTGGCAGCGGGTTCCGTCAGCCCAGGCGTGCAGACAGAAACGACTGCATAAACACAAATGTTTGGAAGTCCGCGCGGATTTCATGGATCTGCGCTGAACCCTTTCTCTGGCGCGCGGAGCGCGCCAGGGGCGGGTCCGGAGGCGCCGCCAGGGGATCCTCAGCGCAGCTCCAAGAAACGTATCCCGCGCTCCAAACGTTATGGTGTTTAACCGCATGCCGATGATAATAAAGGGACCCCCCCCCTTCAGTGTTTAGAGTTGATTATCGTCGCCCTATACAAAATTCAAATTGGGCGGCGAGCGCTGAGGCCGAACTTCATTATCACCTCGAAACGCTATGTTGAGATAGCAACATCAAGCGATGTTGCTATCCCCGCGCGCGCCTGAACTTTTTTATCTCTGGGGTTGACTATCCATGGAAAGGGGAGCACATGAGCTACCCTACATGAGCACTTAAAACAACAATTTTCATAAAGCGTTTGTAAATTAAAATTGATAGATTTGGAACTTTCAATTTTTCCGTTCTTCTTCTCTTCTTCTTCTTCTCTTCTTCTTCTCTTCTTATTATTCTTATGGGTTCCTCTTCTTCTTTTATATTTCTATATGTCCTCACGCTCGCCTGAACTTTTTTATCCCTGGGGTTGCTTATCCATGGAAAATGAAGCACATGAGCTACCCTACACGAGCACTTTGAAAAATCAATTTTCATAAAGCGTTTGTAAATTAAAATTGATAGATTTGGAACTTTGGATTTTTCCTTTCTTCGTCCTCTTCTTATTCTCCTCTTTTTCTTCTTTCTTAGTATTCTTCTACTGTATTATTCTTCTTTTATATTTCTCTCTGTCCCCACGCTCGCCTGAACTTTTTTATCTCTGGGGTTGATTATCGATGGAAATTGAGGCACATGAGCTACCCTACACGAGCACTTACAAAAAACAATTGTCATAAAGCGCTTGTAAATAAAATCTAATAGATTTGAAACTCGAGATTGTTTCTTCTCTTCGTCCTTCTCCTCCTCCTATCATTTCTTTTATTTTATTCTTTATTCTTTTTATTTTTCTTTTTTATATATAGCTTCCTCCATTCCAGCGAGATAAGCCATTGTTGAGGATATTTCTATGACAACTAAACGCCAATGATGTCTCAAAACGTGCTCGGCTTGGTCTCCTCTTGATCATCTCTTACTTCGAGATTATGCTGAGGTCTGCTGGGCTACTTTTATTATCTCTCCCTGAACCCCGAACTTTATTATCCCCTAGTGTTTATTCTCACGGGCATGAGGTTATGCATTTCCAAACTATCCTGTGGTGTTGCGTCCTCGTTTTGAAGAGACAGCGCCCAGCATTCCAACCTCCACTCCTCTCCCACTCCCCGTCCTCCCATCCCTTGCCTCTACACTCCTCGTGTCCGCGTCGTCGTCAAGTTGGCGCATGCAGCTCCAACCCCAATCCAACGCACCCTTCACACGTTTCGTGGCCCCATAGGGTGCTCCACCGGAGACCCCAGTGGCAGGGTCCGCATGCAATCCTACCCCCAATCCAGCGCACCCCTCACAAGTGTCGTGGCCCCATAGGGTGCTCCACCAAAGGTCCCAGTGGCAAGTTCCGCATGCAAATGCACATTCATGTCGGCGCACCCTTCAAACGTTCCGTGGCCCCATCGGGTGCTCCATTCCACCCCCAATCCGGCACACTCCACACATGTCTCGTGGCCCCATGGGGTGCTCCCCCGAACGCCCGAGTGGCAGAGTCCGCATGCAATTCCTCTTCCATTTCGGCGCACCCCTCATACGTTTCGTGGCCCCATGGGGAGCTCCACTGAGGGACCCAGTGGCAGGGTCCTAATGCAGCTCCACCCTGCTCCGCCGAAGGTCCCAGTGGCACCGTCCGCATACGTCCCTGCTACCCATTTCGGCACTCCTTTCACACGTTTCGTGGCCTCACAGGGAGCCCCACCGACGGCCCAAGTGGCACCGTCCGCATGCGTCTCCGCCACCCACCAGGCACACCCCTCGCACGTTTCGTGGCCTCATAAGGAGCTCCACCGAAGGTCCCCGTGGCACAGCCCACATGCGTCCCAGAATTCCATTTTCGGCGCACCCCTCACACGCTTCGTGGCGCCATAGGGAGCTCCCCCGAAGGTCCCAGCGGCACCGTCCGCATGCGTCCCCGCCACCAATGTTCCACACACACACACACCATACACATTTCGCGGCTCCACATGAATCTCCACCGAAGGTCCCAGTGGCACCGTTCGCACGCGTCCCCACCACCCATTTCGACACACCCCTCACACGCTTCGTGGCCCAAGAGGGAGCTTCCACCGAAGGTCCCAGTGGCACCGTCCGCATGCGCCCCCGCCACCTACCTCGGCACACCCTTCACACGTTTCGTGTCCCCGTAGAAAGCTACACCGAAGGTTCCAGTGGCACCGTCCGCATGCGTTCCCTCCGTCCATTTCGGCACACCCCTCACATATATCGTGGCCCCATAGGAAGCTCCACCGAAGGTCCCCATGGCACCGTCCGCATACGTTCCTGACGCCTATTTTCGGCACACCCCTCACACGCTTCGTGGCACCATAGGAAGCTACACCGAAGACGATGAACGCAATTGCGTTACTCACAATTGTATTTGGTTGGCATCTTCGCCAGACTAACTTATTCTCCCTCGACTTCAATGTCAACTTGCTTGCTCGGGCCGGAATGGAACACGGGCAGCCAAGCGGGGCAATGGGATCAGCTCACGTGGCTGGTTTTCCTGGCGCTGGAGGCACCTGCGTATCGAAGGAAGCGCCCGCTGGCGGGGCCGATCACAATTATGTGCAGCAGATTTGGAATCCTCCCTTTCCATACAATCAACGCGCGGCCATTAGGAACGCAGATAAGGAACGAAGGGGCTTTTCCTGGCCACGGCGAAATTCTAGGTTGCCAGAACCAAATCCAATGAACGGCCCAGACATCAGAGCCCCTCCTGAGCCCAGTGTGATCCTCATTTTAGCGCCTTGACTGTACCTCCAAGACTTTGCTAACCAGGACTTTGAACACTCCACCTGGAGAGAACCAAGAACGGATCATGCTTCGACCCACGGCTGCGATTTCCTCGCACGCGCCCATGTCCTGGTTGATCGATGTCCCCGTTTGGGGGGACATGAGCATCGAAGGTGTGCAGGCGCGCCAGTGGGACCGGGGCCGAGCAAGGGCATCGTGGCATATGCGCGCGCCGCGGAGGACCGCACGAGTGCAGCTGCTCAGCAGCTGGCAGCGGACCCCGCGGGAGGCTTCGGCGCCTGCAGCTTCTGAGGCCGCGTTGAAGGGTGGGCGTGCCAGCGAGCCCAGGCGAGCAGGCTATCGGCTGTCAGAGAAGGGTCTGGTCTGTCTTGACCTGCACACCTGTGCGTCACGAGGCCACAAGGCAAGCTCGGAGTGCCACGCGATCCAACCTGCCATCGGCAAGCTGCTGGAGCGAGACCCCTGTTTATGGTCCCGCACAGGGACGGAACAGCAGATGCTGTAATACTTAGCACCCCTCAATTGCGGATAAGAGTGAAGGCGCTGGCGCGGGGTGGGTCGCGGGTGGGTTCGGGTGAGACAACGACAACAACGTAACAACCCAACGCAACCACGCAACAAGCAGAATCTGCGCTGCGGAGTCACACTTCAGCCACGCACCCAGGGAAAGCGAATGACCGTTCGGCCCCCTCACTCCGATCAGAATCCTTCAACAACCTATGGAACATCACGGATTTGGACCTTTTCGGGCTGTCCCGTATGTCGTATGTCCTCTTGGAGGCCTCTTGGGCCACAATGGAGGCCTCTTGAGCGCTTCTTGGGCCGTCTGGGGCCATCTTGAGGCCATCTTAGGCCTCCTCACTCTGATCAAACTCTACACCAAGAAGTGCCTTCTGACTCGCAGCCCATCGCCCCCTATGTCACGAAGCATCGCGCGCCGCGCTGCGCGACGCGCGCGAAGAGGGACTATTTCTTCGCGCCCTCGCGCCGCCCCCAAGGGAGACACTGATTACTTCGGGCGCGTCCTGACCGACCACTAGCCAACCATCCCCTTCTGTGACGTCCCCCTCGCCTTTCAAGCTACCCTCCGGCCGCGCAGATACGCCTTGGGGCCAGGCGAGGGGGACGTCACAGGAGCAAATGTTTTGCTAGAAGTCTTTCCGGCGGCCCCTGAACTACTGGACCCCAACTCTCTCAAGCGGTGGCTGCACGTGCGGTGAAGCCGGGAACCCTGCCCTGACCCCTCCGGCAGGGCAGAGAACCCCGCCGCGCGCGCAACCACGAGGGTCGCAGGGAGGGCGCGCAATCGCCAAGGCCAGGGCTCCCGGGCGAGCTGGGGGCGAGCCCACCTGCCACGACGACAGGCCAGAGGCCACGACCAGCGGAGGTCGCGCGCCCCGCATCCCTGCATGGAGTTGAGCTGCTCTGGCGGAAGCAGACCAGCCACGACCGAGGGAGATGTGTTTCTTACCTCCCTGGGGGAACCCATCGTGTCGACGATCTCTCGAGCGGGGCCTCGAGACCGATGGGTGCCCCAGGGGGGGTAAGGACCACAGCTCCCCCAGTTGTGGCTCTGGCCGGCCAGCAGCAAGAAAGGTGCGCAGCAGTCCAGCACCGCCCAGCAGCCGGTGTGCGGGAACTGCTAGCACTCACGGCGAAGCTCGCAAAAACTGCCGAGGACCGCGGGCAAGCGAACGAGGGTGCGCAATGGCACCGAAGAGAGAAGCACCACTGGCAGACCGAGATGTTGAGTCTCAACGGATATGAGGAAGCAACTCCTGGGAGGTCTTCGTGACACCCATGACGGGACATTCAACTCGATGAAGATGCCATCGAGCCCGATCAGCCTGGATAAGCCCAAGATGGTACCAAACTAGGCCGGCTGTCGACCACGGACATATCAGCGCCGATGCTGGATCTAATCTCACAGGAATTGTCACCTAACGAATGGTTCAGAGAGGTGCGTCGGTCGTGGCCGCGAGGGCACGGCTGGAGACGGAGATTCCCGGCCTCCGCGCCAGCACGCGCCCCGCGCCCCACGCATGTATCACGCCCCCTTCCCTTCCACTCCCCATCATTGCTTCTCTCCCTCTTTCTCTCCCTCTCTCCCTCTCCCCCCCTCCCTCTCCCTCACCGTCTCCCTCCCTCATTCCGTCCTCCCCATCATTGCTGCTCTCTCTCTCTCTCTCTCATCCTCTCCCTGTGTCCCTCTCCCCCTCTCCGTTTCCCTCTCCCTCTCCCTCTTCCTCGCCCTCCCTCCTCCACCCTCCCCTCTTCCGCGTCGCCTTTTGCTTGCACATGTCCCTGACCATCGCGATCTCCCCCTCCAGAAGGGATGTGGACGTGATGACGTCGCGCAACTCACTCTTGAATACGTACCTTCGGTGGTTTCTACATTGGTGCCGCGCACAAGGGAGTAGAGGGAGAGGGGGAAGGCTTCTTAGAAAGAGGCTTCTTAGCAGAAATCGCCGTAACATGTGCTTCCGTTTCACGTCTTCTTGCCAACCTCCCTCTCCACCTGGTGCAGCTGGCGTCAACTCCACCCATGCACTTTCCTCGATCGATGCATGACCGCTCGCGGCGCGGGGGGCGCCGGGAAAACCAGCTGCATGCCCAGACATTGCCGATATGACCTTTTCGATCCGCGGACCCAGAACTCCCGGCCCCTTCCGCAGGATTGGTTTAGCGTCCCAGGTCAGCTAGGGCACGATCACCAGCCCCAGTGGGCCGAAACCGAAGAAAAAGCTCCTTTCCCCGACCGTCACTGATGCCATTAAAAAACGCGCATGCCAATCAAAGTTTCGCGTGTGTCAACATAATGGTATGGAAACACAAGATAATCGTGTCAAACGACGATGTCCTATCCAAACATGACGATTTCATATCAAAACACGACCAAAAAATGACACCAGGCCCATTCCTACTACAAATGACGCCCAGTGCGTCATTTTGCAATAGATGCATGCAGCTAGGTCGCGCGTGCGCAAACGAACCGCGCACGCGCAAAGAAAACAAATAGATCGCAGTTCAACAACACATCGCGACCTTGCATAATAGCGAACATAGATGTCAAAACAACCACACAAGACAACTTGGTGAAATCCTCATTTTGAGTTACAAATGCCCACGGCCCGTGTCAGAATGGGAAAATCTGGTAGCGAATGTGCGCGGCGCTTCGGCGAGAGCCTCATTTTGAGCCAGGTATACCCTCGATCCGTGTAACAACAGTGTTGAACCGAAGGAACGAACAAGTCAGTCCGACTTGCCCCACGTCAAGTTCTCCCTAAGGGTTTCATAAGCCCCCCCCACCTTCCCCCCTCTTCCAGTCTATAGAAGTCGGGAGGGGGGATCGTCGAAGTGGAACGGAGCCAACCCCCCCTACGGGGAATCGGCTTCGGCCTCGAAATGCCTTCGGGGGCCCAGCGGACTTCGTAGACTCGGGGTGGAGGCTCTCGGGTGTCCGCGGCCGCGGCCGCGGCTAGCGGGATCGGCCCCTTCTGTTCTACCCCTCATCACTCTTCCAACTGGCATTACTCCTCCTCCCTCCTATAGCCGTTTTGGCTCTCGATTTTGGCTTGGGATGCCGATTCTTCTTCCGAAGAAGTGCTCTGGCTCGCGTTGCCAACCATGGGCTATCGCACGAGCTGCGACCTCACTCAGGCACAAGCCGAGGACGTGTTCTCATCCTGACCTCCTGCAACACTTCAGAAACCAATAGGTTTCTACAAGCACTGAAAGTTCAAGAATGCGCCGACGTGGGTCGACGCGAAGAAGTTTCTCCCGTGCGTGTCCGAGCTATTGAACTACACCAACGGGGTGAACGTTCATCAGAAGAGCTTCCAGACCCAGTTCGGCAGCATCATCGCGGATCAGGAGTTGAAGATTTCCTCAGGGGACTGCGAGAAGATTTGCTACAGGGTCAGGGATTGCGTGGCACAGCTCCTGAACTAGAAGTCCAAGTTGCGGAGCCTGCCAGTTCAGTACGCTGGCGCGTTCGGGCCAATATGGCAGAAGCTCAACGCCGAGGGCTACCAGAACTCACAGGCTGGCATCGGCCACAAAGATGATCACGCAGTCGACGAAGGCAACGAGGGCAACGACAGCAACGACGTGAAGGTGCTCCCAACTGAGGTCAAGCACATTCCGTTGGTGGAGTTATCCGACTCGGACGAGGAGCTGGCCAAGTTGAAGCTCGAGGACGACGCTATCTCCGACTCGCCTTCACCGGCACCATTGCCGTCCGCGAGTGGGCTGCCATCGTCGGTCAAGCGCAGGCGCTTGGTGGTCAAGACGGCGGACCTTGGCCAGCACGGCGAGCTGAGCGAGAAGGCGCTCGAGGCGATCGCCAACGGCAGCTCGTCTACAGGCCCGCTCGCACCTGCGAAGTGGACAGGGCTTGAAGCAAACAAGAAAGCGACACGCCAAGGTAAGAACGGACAGGGCCAGAAGGGCAAGAACAGCACGAGCACGGGCAGCACGCCGGTTGACAAAACGGTCCAGGTCACGTGGGCGACCTACTCCAAGCGGGAGCACATCAAGGTGTGGGCGGCCGAGCGCAAGCGCCTGCAGTCCTCGGGCAAGTCCGACGAGGACGCGGGTGTTCGAACCAATTCGCCCCTCTCACATTCGCCTCCTCCTCCTCCTTCTCCTCCTTCTCCTTATCCTCTTGCTCCTCCTCCTCCTCCTCCTGCTCCTCCTCCTCATCATCATCCTGCTCCTCCTACTTCTCCTCCTCCTCCTCCCTCCCTCCCTCGCCCTTCCTCCTCCTCCTCCTCCTCCTCCTCCTCCTCCTCCTCCTCCTCCTCCTCCTCCTCCTCCCCCTCCTCATTCTCCTTCCCCTCCTCCTCCTCCTCCTCCTTTTTCACTTCCTCCTCCTCCATTCTCTCCTCATCCTCATCATCAGTCTCCTCCTCCTCCTTCTCCTCCTCCTAATCCTCCGACGTCCGACGACACCGACGGCGGCGACGATGAAGAAGACGACGACGGCGGCGACGACGACCTGGCGGCGGCGACGACGTCGGCGAAGACGACGGCGATGGTGCGGGGGCGACGGCGACGGCGACGACGGCAGGAGGAGGAGTAGTAGGAGGAGGAGGAGGACGAGGAGGAGGGGGAGGGGGATTAGGAGGGGCTGGAGGAGGAAAGGGAGATGAAGGAGGAACAGGGAGATGAGAGGAGGGGGACAAGGGGGAGGAGGGGGAGAAGGGGGACTGGGGAGGAGGGAGAGGACCAGGAGGAGGAGGAGGAGGAGCAGGAGGCGGAGGGGAGGAGGAGGAGGATGAGGAAGAGGGGAGGAGGAGGAGGAGAAGGAAGAGGAGGAGGGGGCGAATGCGTGTGCTCTTACCGCTGTCCCCGTGAGGAGGCCAAGGCTGGGGCCTCGAATAAGGCCTGCGAATTCATGGCGTCGCTGCGCAGGCAGCGGGACGCTGGCGAGCTCAACCATCTCCTGAACGCAATTTAGCACGTGCTGCTCGACTGGATGGGACCGTCGAACTGTTTCTAACTGTTTCAAGTTCCGCTCGGGACACCGAGATTTCGCAGCTGCGCAGTGTCATATGTGTTCGGCCTCCTTTCCTTGCTTGCATCACACCATCATCTTCTAAATCTCCTGGCGGATCTCCAGGAGCAGTAGACAGAACAGCAATCAACAAACATTCCCGACGATCAATGAACTGTGAGGAAGTCTCAGGCGGGAGCCCCTTAATATAGCAAACGCAACATTTTCGGCAACGCATGTCGCCAAACAAACACGCACATACACGAACACCGCGACCAATCTGTATACGCGCGTGTTACAGCAATACAGGAGCATGGACAACAACTGGGACCAGCACACGACACGACAAAGCGCAGCAATGGCACAATGCACCACCAACTCGAGGGCCACGCTAGCAGACGACAGCACATCACAGCACCAACAATCACACCCTCGCAGCCACACACACACACACACACACACACGAACAACTACGCACGATAACAGCCGTCGGCACGACCCCGAATCCCAATCCACAATGGGCATGACCCCCCAATCCCGAATCGGCATGACCCCAAAACCTTACCCACAATCGCCAATCAAACAGCGTAGCCGTTTGGGCTCAGACGCGCCAGGTGTCGGAGCACTGCCTATATGCCAGCAGTCTACATCAGCATGTCGCAAGTGCCTTCTGATCAAGAGAGTGGCTTCATGATCGTTCCTTCGGTCCCTGCGGTACGCCGCAATGATGACGACGACAACGGTGCTGCATCCTCGCAGCTGCTGGACCGTCCGATGAGCAACACAGGTGTCCCAGGCGGTGCTCCTCTACGCGAAAGTGCTCGTGGCGGCTCAGCTTCGGATCAGCTTGGTGGAGCTGGCGTTGGTGACAGTGGCAGTGAGGTCGAATTCATTGGTGCTACAGGTCACGGCGCTGCAGATGCTGCGCCAGAGATGGAGGTCGGCGCGGCTGAAGTTCAGGATCCTGATCAGGACCAGGAAGCCGACGAGATGGAGCGCATGCAGCGCACGCCGGAGCAGGTGCAGCTCTGCATCGGCGCGTGGAAGGCCGTGGTCCCCGAGTCGCGCTACACGGCGTCTGTCCATGCGGACATCGACACGCTGGCGATGAACGTCACACTTGCGGTATCGGCGCTGGACAAGAACTCCGTGGAGGATACGGGCCCTACCATGGCCACGCTTCGTTCGATCATGAAGGACTTCACCGAGATGAAGGCCGTCGTCGACAACATGGAGCTTGACAACCCGTCGAAGGTAATCGAACGTAGCCCGATCGACCCATGAAGGCCTGCGTGCTGAACTACACATCATGCACGGCTTGACTGACCACCGTGCCGTGCGCACGGCTCGCTATTCCGTCACGCATGCTGCAGGTGATATTAACCGCTAGCTCACGTCGCTGGCGCTGCTGATTGGGTGTTGCGTACGCCCTCTGCTTGTATACAAGTTTGCGGCCGCCTCACGCTCTGCGATGCAGAACGCATCTTCAGAAACCAACACATCCATTTCATCCATCCCACATTCTCGGCCCAACCCCCTCCCCCACCACACGCACTTCCTACCCCTACCCTGCCAACCCTTGATATCACGCACGTAGCTGCTTTGATCTCAAGCTCATCCTTAGGCCTCAGTCCGCCTGCCTCTCCTCCTCCACCTCCTCATCATCCAAGCCTTTCTCATCCTGCTCACCCTCCTCCTCTTCCTCCTCATCCTCCTCCTCCTCATCCTCCTCCCTCCCTCCTCATCCTCATGCTGCCTCCCCCCATCCGCTTGCTCAATATTTTGTCTCCGCCCGCTCCCGCCATGCCCTCGCGCGCCCACTGACCCCTCGCATTCGGTGTCAAGCCAAGTAAATTGCCTTGGGTCGTGCACACTCGTCTGC